ATGTTATTACATACAGGGCTTAAAACTGATATCGAATACTGATTTTCAATACCGGTTACAACCGTTAAAACCAGAAATTGATATCTCAACTGAAAGCGAAATCAAAAAAATCAGTACCGTTACAATCAAAACTGAAATTGAAATCGGTAATAATATATAGGTACCTACCGATATTCAAAATTGAAATCGAATCTCAAAAAGTAAATACTTTTGAATTTGAAAACAATATGAACACTGGTATTCAAAACTATAAAGTAAAAACGAAATCGGAAAAAATAAACACCAAGATCCGAAACCGAAATTGAAATAGGAAAAAATGTTTTCAGTTTAGATCCCTGGTTATACATATAATATAACATAAGTATACCTACATTTTTTATAGAAAATTAGTTTTTGTCACGAAAATGTTTTGAATTGATTTAAAAATGTATGTTCGTTGTAGTATTTCTGGGCAATCATTCATATTGTTATTTTATTTAAAAATATTATTTTAATTTGAAAAAAAGTTGTTCAATGGTTGATATATTGAAAACGTTAGTCTCTATTTCGTAGCCTAGATTTGAAGTTTTATAAAAAAAAAACATCGATCAATTAAAAATCAAATTAAAATAATTTTGAATTTTTTTCTAATCTTTGAGTCTGGGTTTTTTATATTATAACCTGGTAGTCGCGGCATCGAGTGGTAGTCGAGATAATTGATAAGTAAGTACCGAGTTTTTGAATATTTGAGGGTCTGCGATAAGGAGTGCCTAATCAAACTAAAAACGGGTGATTGACAGATAATATACCTTAAGTTTTTAATTCAGATTTGTCCAAAAACACTTTTGGATTATAAAAAATCTAATTTTGCAGGTGCTTTATTTCCGATAAAATAAATTATAATTATAATTAATTATTTTTATTTATTTAATTTAATTACGGGCAGTGAGCCCAATATAATTCACAAACATATATATAATATTTAAACTAAGCGGGTGTTACACTTATTCGACTTTATAAGTCGTTATTTTTAAATATTGTGAAGGTTACATGTAATAGCATAATATTATAACACTTTTGCCGAATTCTGAAATCGTACTTCAGCTTTAGTAAGACTAATAGAATATCACATATTCGATTAATTATTTAGGTATGAGTTATAATTTGTATGATAAAATAGTGTCTGTAGCACCGCTTTTTTAAATATAATATACATTACCTGTACACGTGGTAGTGGAGTAGTGGGTACAATGTCTATAACAGTAAAACAGTAAAACGAACCTCAATAATAAATTATTAATACGCGAGCATCACCCGAGAGTCAGACTTCGCACGACTCAGAGTGGCCGACGGAACCACAACCATCCGGCACGTCCTTAACAAAAAAATAATAATACTATAATATTATAATATAAGTAGAGGTATACTTACACACTGTAAATGCGTAGAGTCATCAGAACCGATAACGATAAACACACGTTTTGTAAAACCATATTATATTATGCATAGTATACCTATATCTACAGAGCGATTCACCTAGCATGTTCATGTTCACCTCCTTTTTTTTTCTTCGGCAATGCAGCTGTTCAAAATCTGATATTTGGAGTTTTTATATATATATATCTAAAGATGTAATTATTTAAAAATTCTCGAGTTTTTAAACTACCTAAAAGGACTATCCTCTGGAGACATAATTTTTTGTTATTCAAACCAGAACACCCTTTTTACAGTAAACTATATTTGGCTGATAATTTAAACGTATATATATTATGTTTTTAGGCTGGGATACAACTTATTATTTTCCGTCGGATTTTTCGTAAGGTTTTCGTTGTCATGGTAACTTATTAACAACAAAATTATATATAATATGATACATAGATTTTCTTTGTAGAGGAAAAATATAGAGTAGCATGCTATGGTTTTTCTGAAAATGTTGACAAATCAAGATTCCAAAAAGTAGTTTTGAGTTATTTAATTGTGCGCACTCAGGATAATAGTTCCATAATAATAGGATTTTAGCGATTTTTGTAATTCATCGGTAGTTTTTCCTTTAGCATTAAATACATATTGAGAAAATAGAAAAATGACCTCTTTAAAGTACCATGTTGATCAAATTTGCTAAAGGATAAGATACTATATGTTTAAATTAAAGCCCTCCTTCTGGTAGAAATTTTTTATAAGTACAGGATAAATAAACAACATTGTAAAACCACTAGCTTCCTCGCTCCACTCAGAATCCAAAATGCATCGAAACAAATAAGTATTTTAAACAATTTTGAATTGTATTCATTATACGTACAATACTATGTATACAATAACCTTATGCTTATGAATAAATAAATATCTAACGAAATAAAGAAAAACACTTATTCAATTACAGTTTATCAGAAGATGTAGAACAGAAAAGTAACATCATACCTATATACCTCTCACTAAAATAGTTGTGTCCTAAAATTAAGGTTGTATAGGTTTTTTTTCGATTAATTTCATTAATATTTTTATTCGTGGACCATAAAAAAAATGAGCTAAGAGTTGCGTGTTAGACATGCCTGCTGTGCAATAAGCGGCTGCAAATATTTTTTGAAAATGTCTGAAATAAATCAGAAGTATACCTATGCGTGTAACACTAAAATATTTATTTATTAATTTAAAGACCCGTCTCTATAATAATTTAGGAGCTCATTTGGTTTTTATAATGACCAATTGTATTGATTATATTGTCTATTTAATATACTCTATTATATTATGATTATTTAGTTTTATTTCTTCGTTTAAAAGAAATTCATTATTATGCCATAATGAATGGTTCAATGATATCATTAATCAATAATTCCGAAAAACCTGTTCTAATTAAAAATACAATCTGAAGAATAGTGAAAATTCTCATTTTAAAATGTTTAAAAATTCTTTTTGTGGTACAACTACGGTAAGCGTTATATTTTGTTTGGTAAATATTATTATGTATTACATTTTTTTAGATTTCATTTATTCTAAAGTATTTAATTTTTGATTATCATCTGTAATAAACTCACGCCATCATTTGATGACCCCTGCCCTAGACCAGGGCCCGGATTGGTTAGGCGAGCTACCAAGAAAATCTCGGTCTGCCGCTTAAAGTTTGGGCCGGTCGTGTGAGTGTAAGTGAAAAAAAATTCATGTTTAAAATACATCTGGTCACCTAACAGCTGGTAACAATTTTAGGCGTAATTTTGAATTTTGGGACGATGAATATTGTGAAATACAGTTGAATGGGCCGCGTAGAAGTGAAAATATCGATGGGCCGATACATATCAATCCGGCCCCGCAATAGACTAATATTTAATACCGTCTCGTCTACAACAGTATAATAATAAATTATTTCAACGACCATTTCGCATTCCAATATTGATACCTACTAAAACTGTATTGCAATAAGACTATAATATCTAAATTAATGTAAAACGTCTACGGAAAGTCTTGAACTCATGTCTTAAGCGGATTCAATATAGAGAAATAACACCCCGGACAATCTGGTCACCTGAAGGCCGAAATACTTACATCCGTACAGCCATCCCCCCCCCCCGGCAGGATTGAATGAGGACTTGGGGGCGGTCAACATGCCATTTTTTTTTGGCAAAGATCGACCTCGTCAAGGGAGGGTTTTTTTCCTCACAAGGTGCGAGTGACTATAATAATATGAACTCATCTTGAGAATTCGTTGGCTCCAGATACATCGAGGTGGAGTGATTGAGAGTTTTTGAGTTTTTTTTTTGTGGGTTACTCCTATATTATATCATTGGTATAAGCAGTGCATTAGCCGTGGTTACGTCCGCAGTTACCTCAAATTTCTAGTCGCTTTTCCACCCAGTGGAGGCGCAGGTTACATAATAATATTATAGCACCCACCGAATATTACACAAAATACCTACGACGTAGGTACCTATATTCTGGCTAACCCAAGACGACCCACCTGCAGCGCAAACGATGGTATATTAGGTTCGGTGAACGAAAAAAAATCGCAAATAACCATCATCTCGCTTATGGTCGTATATAATAATATAATAATAATTATGATTACTTACATTGTTGCGCAAGTCGTCGTCGAGCGTGAGATATTTACCGATTGAAAAACTTATCTAAACATGTTTATAATTAGTCCGCAGGCCACCGCCCATGTGTACTGTGCGTATATTATAATAGCCTACCTATCTAAATTAAATATTATTAATAATGATATGCACAGGCGGCAATAATTTATAATGATTTATCACGTGGATAACCTACGTACGTACCTATGCCGTGTTAAGAATCGCTTCTCTCGAAAACGAAAAATTGATTTTTTTTTTTTTTTATATAATGCTTTTGAAACGTTGTTTTTTTTCCTCCCAAAATGTGTTATTGATTTATAATGTTTTATAAACAGTGTAATAATGTTAAATGCAATTAGGCCAGCCTGCGAAACGAATAATAATAATATTAGTTTGTATATTATTTTCAAGATAAAATATAAATTGCTCAACATTTTAGAATTATAATATATATGTATACTGTATAGTAATATCAAAACACGTTATTTAAAACATCAACCGGGTAACTTTTTTTTATTTTTTTTTATTTTTTGTTAACACATTGTCTCGACGTTACCAACGTGATACACAATATTATATTTTTGGTTTAAATCTATATGCGACAATGATTTATTATTATTTTATTATTTTGAAATTAGTATTTTTCAGTAACGAATTTTCGAATACCCAGGTGTAAGGAAAAAGACACATAATATTATGTTTTTGTATTTCACATTTTTATTGTTATTTTGTCACTGAAACATAATAATAAATATAATTGCACGGATGTCTAGTCAAAACATTAATGGTAATAAAATAACACAAATAATAATATACGAGCACAAGCATCGTACTCTTAAACATAATATATAATGAAAAATGTACAACTAATATAAATTTGTATGTGCGCAGACGTTTTTGAACTATAATTTCATTCTACATACATTTTCCTGTTTGATTATAGTATTCATTCGGTCACGGGAATATTTTGTTGATGAAATTTTTGACATCTTCTAACTCCTAAAAATACATAAAAAAAATTGATAGAAATGCAGTTGTTTGACGGCCACATGATTTTACAACAATTGGTACAAAACTGTTAACGCGTTGCGCAAACTCGGTTATGGGTCAATAAGATTATCGAGTACTTGAGTAAATGCGTACCTATTGGTAATTACCAATAATATTATAATATTATAATATTCTATAATGTACCTACGTCTAATTCAACGTGAAGGATGTTACGTGTCTTTGAAATAGCGCGAAAGGCATAATAATCATCATTAGTATATTTTCAGTTCAAATTTGCACACCCACGATTTGAGCTCTCATAAGTCATCGGTCACCCCAATCACCATGTTGGGTCACAGAAATATATTATATTAAAAATAGCACAGTATAATAGGCGCTAATGAGTGAAACAATTCGTTTTCGTGTAGGTAACCAAGACTGATACTCAAAACAAGCGGTGGTGTGGTGAATTATTTTCAAATTGACACGACCATAATTATGGTACCTATATATCCTGGTTCCCCGGATTAAGGTGAAAAAAGATCTTTAATTATTTCTAGTGATGTATCAGAAAAATGTATCACCCAATAATAAAAGCCTAAAGGCTGTATAAAATTCGTCTATCGCTTTCGAAAATGAAACGTGTTACTGAAAAACTAAAAAGTAATTGATAAAAAAAAAATGTATTGGTTTGTCCTGCACTTACCTATTTTCCAATATTATTAACTGAGAACAATTCAATATTATGTAGGTACTCATTATGTCATTAGTAGAATTAGCGGGGAGGTTTGATCTATCCATCAGGTACGATGGATTTAGGCGTTCATTAAAAAACATTATTTACGACTAAATCAACGATAACACTCGTATAACACTACGTCACTACTATAACCTTATATACGAGGTCCATATCGACGAAACGAAATTAATATTTTATTTCCTCTCCGAAACGATACAGTTAATAATAACAATCTGTGTATAGTAACTGTTGATTATAGCTTATTATAATATCGTCACCGATCGATCGAGTTCTCTACGCGATTTTTTCGTACCTGATCGTTGACGGCGTGCATTAAACCCTCGTACGCCTTAAACTCGTACTTGTTGGGGTTCATCTCCTTGAGGGCTTCGGACAAAATCAATCCCCATTTGTAGAAAATGACCGGGTCTTCGGTTCCGTGGCACTGCAACATCGGTGTGTTGGTGTTGTTGATGGCCGCCTGATACGAAAACAGAAGATATAAATATTGTAAGAATATGAACGTGGTGGCAGTTGCTATTGTAGTTTTGGGAGGAAGCCGATGGATTTGAGTGGGTTACGTCACACGACATCGAGTTTCGTAATTTTTCAATCTTTATATCGGTCACAAACGGCGGAAACGAAGGATTCGTGTGAACGATGTGTCGAGTGCAAAATAATGCCAATTTTATCTCATCTTTATTAAATGGCTCAGTCAGTGACCCTGATTTTCTGTCTTCTATCTCTTTTTGTGTAGCTACCAATGGAACAAGAGACACTCTCATTGTTTTACGTTCATTCTCGTTGTATGAATACAACAACCCTGTACGCAGAATGGCATAACGCGTTTCCATTACTCACTTTAACTTTGTTATTTCATTTGATAAGTATATATAGCATTAACATCTATCCTCTACCTCAGTATTATTTGTCACATTTACACAGTGACTTGTAATTTATATGTAAAAAACCGTTTTGATTTGTTTTGTTTTTCTTTTTAATGTTTTTTGTTCTTAATTTTACTGTTATTACTTATTATTACTAACCTGTGTCATTCTACTACGGCACACCTACACTGTACATCCATTCACATCATAATTATGTAACTTGTAATTTTTTACCAAACTTTGTATAATTGCCGGATTGGCGTTAATTAATTAAATACAAAAGTACGAAAACTGTGATAGTGTTAAAAATGCATTGGGTGACGAATGGTTTAGGTTTTGACCTCGATCTGACACCGAACGAAATATAGACATTGGAGTTTTTTCGATGGAAAGATATATATTATATATTGAAAATTGATTTATTTTTAAATAGCAACTATTTAAGTCATCCCCCATTTTACAGAGCCCAAATCGTATAAATACTCACATCAGGCATGGTATGCCGGAGCACCGGCCAGCTGGACATGACCATCACGGCGGCCAGCCGTTTGTGGTAGGTGAGTGCGGAATACATTGCCAGGGCTCCACCTTGAGAGAAACCTGCCAACATGATCTTGGTGGACGACACTTTTGAAGAAGCGATCTCCTCGTCTATGATGTCGTGCAGCTTGTCCACGGCCCTCATGATGGTTGACTCGTCTTCCAGCTTGTTCTCGTCCAGCGACGCCAGGTCAAACCACGCAGCCGTCGGGAAACCCTTGTTCAGCGTGAGTGGAATTTTCTTTCTGTGGGTCAGAGAGAGGTATAAACACATATTTTTGTGACGTGCGTGAGCTTTTCCTCGTTAGTCCAGGAAAACGGTGAAAACGACCAGTGGACGGTAGAACTAACGTTAAGAGGACGCTACACATGCATTTGTTATCTCAGTCTTACACACTTACGACATACCAAATTTTCGTTCACTAGTTTCAATAGTATGCTGTTATTTTTGATATTAGAGTGAATTGACCTGTTAAAACATTTTTAGATAATAGCATTATTTGTGCTTAAGCTTTGGATTTTATTCGATATTTTAATTTCCAAGCGAGATATGAGCATTTTTAATTTTTGATATTTCACATGCACATATCTTACTAACTTACTTAAAAATGAAAATATTGAAAAACCTAAAACGCTTAAGCACAGATAATATTCTTACCTAAAAGTATGATAATAGGTCAATTCACTCTAATATTAAAACTAACAACATACTATTGAAACTAGCGAACGGAAATTTGCTATGTCGTGCGTGTGTAAGACGGAGACAACAAATGTATGGGTAGCGTCCTCTTAAATCATTTTCAAAATAATATTATGTACGATTATAAAAAAAAAATTGTTGACTTTTAAATTTCAACGGAAGTTTGTTTTGATATTCGTTGCGCTTGCTTCCGAAAATAAAGAAAAATATATTTTAAAAAAAAGTTAGGGTGATTCGAGACAGTGTTTCGACCGCGGTAACGAATGAATAAACGGTATCAACATCTGTTTGATCGTACGTTTGACTATATTTTGTGCTCATGTCAACTTGCACTTGCATCATTGTGTTTAGTTCTATGGTATGTATACTCATATACATTTGTGTTGATAAAGTTAGTCAAATTACACGAGTATAACTCAACAAAACATATTAATGAAAACTGTATCTTGTGTTCCGCTTTAAATTTAAATTTGTTTAAGTAGCTTGAAATGAAACATGCATGTTAAACTAAATTTTGCAATAGGTACCAACGATTGTTTAAAAGTTTTTACGGTTATGAATTTTTCCAATAATTTTTTTATTTGAATTATCAATTTTACTAATCAGTGTAATGACGATATGTTGAGTTTGGCAAATTTTTATCAGAGTGGTTTGTGGTTGACACTGAATAAGAGCATCTTTTTGTATTAAGTTTGTTCTAACTGTTTTCTACCGAAACGGTGATGAAGACGTCATACTCACGCGTTAAGGCAGATCACTTTGACGTTGGGCTTGACCATTTTGGAGAGCAAGAGCTTCCAGTTTTCCCTGTAAACAAAACACAGTTATGGCACAGAATAAAATAATATACCAATACTTTATTGCTATTTATAGGTATTAATAAAATATTTCAAATTTTAAATCGTATCTTTTATTATTATTATAACGACATAATAATTCCAGATCACCTACACCAAATCAGCCCGGTGTCTCATGACGAGTAAAAATAATAATAATAATAATAATAATAATAATATCATAATGTATTTAGTGGACATATCATATTATTACATTTAATAATATAATATTATGATCTGCATAGTATTTTTTTTTTATACAGAAACGCTACTCAAAGTTAACCCTTCGAGCTCTCAAAGTCTTGCTATTAATATTATTACCTACATATTATTGTTATCACGTTAGTAATAATGATGTGATATTGTAATAGAAAAACGGTTATGTATAGTAATCGGGCACGGAATGGTTGTGTTGGCATCCGATCACTGCACACATACGAAAACTGTGAAACAATCTTCCATCTCCGTCTATTGTACTTACGCGCAGTAACGAACAACACTACATTATAAAACAATATAATAGTGAAAAATCTGGTGTAGTGTGTTGCTCACCTGTTAGAATCGGAAATCATATTTTTAAAACGCAAGTTATTAATAATGTCCGAGGCCGATAACGCTCGGACACGCACACAACGCGCCGACAGTTTTCAATTGAATTCTTATTTATTCTTATTATTCTTATTATTTTTTATTATTATAATACTATAGATAAAAACGTATAATCAGTTGTACTTGGGCGAATAATTATAGTATTATAGTGATCTGTGTAAATTTTTAGTGTTATAAACAGGTGCTGATTTTTCTTTATTTTTTTTTTTTTTTGCGTTCGATGATCAACAGCAATTTTTTCATTTTTTAAATTTCGATTCGAAGATTTTCCTAGCGAGGTGATCTGCGACCATGAAACCAAATAAATGTATAATAACCAATAGGCACGGACTTTATACCACTTTTAAGAGAACTATAACATAATGTACCTAGGTACCTTAAAAATCTATAGAAAATATAGGAAATAATAATAATAATAAAATAGTGATAATTTTTTATTAATTGTTATACAATATGCACAATAGGAACATTTTAGATTTGAAATGTTGCCAATAACAATCATTATGTGATTAATTATTTTGAGTTAAATATTATAAATAAGAATACAAATAAAAATAAATTATGCTAATCCTTAAAGCAATCAAACTATGACCTCAGTATAGGTACTATTCAAAATTTTCTGAAAAACAAATAAACGTGTAATTAGTTTACATGTTCACTTTTTTCCCTCTTCACTTCCTTTGTGATCCATGAATAACATTAAATAAACACGATTTTATTTACAAATATAAAAATAGCACCTCGAACTGTAGAAATATCACTGAAAATCTAAAACGGTTTACAATATTATAATATGCGAAATTATGAAGGGCACAATTTATTATATTATACTTGGAATCCGTGTTGCATATAAGACTAATGTGTAATCTTTTATCTGCATTCGTATTGAAAATTATATTATAGGTATAGAATCCGATCAGTGATAAAGGCGTTGACCATATATTAATTCTTTTACACTGTGAGCACGCAATAGATCGTGAAGGAAATAAACAATGAGCTTTTGAACCCGGCGAACTTTTAAACCTATAGCAGACTTTATCCAACCACCTCGTGGAAAACGATGTACCTATGTGCTTTATGAGTTTCTATTTTTTAATATTTAACTATTTTTAAACGGATTGATCAACCGTTTTCCGTACACGCATTCACGCTTCTTTTAACCGGATTATCCTAATATAGCCGCGATCCACTCGACGGGATTTTGAGATGACTTTTTCTATAAGTCTTAGATCATATTCAATGGATAGAGCCTTGGCCTATAGATTACATATAACATTGATGATGTACATGTTAGCGACTCGCGGCTTATGTGTCCTCTACTACGCATGCGCTCTTAATTAGTCGCAACTAGGCTCATGTCTAGGTCAGCTAGCGCCGGCGCAGTAGAGGCCACATAACCCGCGATTGGTGGCGACTTGTCGCTAACATGTACATCAAAATATTGAGCTGTGGCTACATCCACTGTATATGATCTAAGCTATAAGTATATATTATATGTAGGTACCTAATTCTATTTATTTACTGCACATAATTTATAAAATCTAAATTATATACACATTATGACACTAACAATTGTCGTAAGTATATACTATCTTCAGTTGTCGAGCGATCTATTGTCCACTATCTATTGTCACACTATATTATCTATTGATCACTATATTATGTCTATTGACATGGATCCCACCTACACACATTATTATCATATAATATCGTTACCTACATGCATGACAGTTTTTTCTTAGGAATTTAAAAAGTGGTTTCAACCGCACAACCTCGGGCCCTATCGCGCGGGTATAGCGTCACACACGCTTCAACGTTACAAACAATTATTAAATCCATCGTCCCATGTCATCATTCGAATCATAATAGTATATCGATAAATCAGTGGTCGTATTATACCTACGCTTATATTTTTCGCTATTTTTCAATACGGTCTAACGCATTTCAGTGCATAATGTTTTAAATATTATATTTTGTTCGTGTTGATAACACGACTATACCACATACTTACATCGCGATAAAGCGCCAAAGTTCAGACTGATTATTGTTACATAATAAGGAGATAACTTTTAGCACGCTTAGAAAAACGTGTAGGTGATAAACTAAAACGAGAACCACTATAAGATCAATAGGCTGCCGTGCTGTAAAATAAAACCCATAATCAGACGCAATTGTGGACGTCCTCTGATGGAACTTACGCGAAGAGTTCACCAGGTGACCGCAACGACCCACACAGAATTTGGCAAATATTAATATTTCATGAATATTTTATATTCATAAATAATTAATATTTGTCTAATAATATTGTATAAATATTTTCTTTTCATAATAACGAAATATTGTACTATATGATTGCATAAAAATGTTTACTTAATATTTTTAGTTTCCGTAATAAAATTTTTTGAAAATATATGATTAAAATGTTTTGTAAATGTTTTTTATATAATATTTTCAAAAATATGAACTTCTTGGCCAAAAAATATAACTAAAATATTTCCTAATTATTTATGCAACTTTTTTTTTTAAATATTTTGAAAATTAAATTATTTTGCTTAACATATTTTTACCACAGTTAGGAAATATATTTATGCTGTGTAGACGAGAGGTGTGAAACCGTTTACAACCAGTCGTGAAAAATGATAATAATTCGTCGTCCACGAAAATAATATAATACTATGAGAGGGCAATAAATACCTATAATTCCTGCAGCTAAAAACGAGACGCAGTTTATTGTTAAACTGTAAATTGCAGTATGGGTAAAATCAGACTTTCGGGTGCAGAGTTCGAAAGAAAAAACGGTACCAGACTTAATAATTGATTACCAATTTTCGATTCAATTGTGATTTATCGATTATTACACATGTCATTAGTCCTTTGATGTTATATAAATATATAATAATTATGTTATTAACGTAATATTATTTTACAAATACAGCGAAACGTCCATATTAATATAAAACAAAATTTTCTGTTTAACAAAACATTTTTGAGAGTAAAACCAAATTAGAACGAATTAATTTAATTTGAAATATAATTAATCGAGAACAACGAAATTCTCTACAATACGATATTTTTCTCGTCCATCACATTTTGTAATAGTATGGAAGTTTCACAGCAATATCACAAAACATAATAATATTATTGGTAATAATATTTTTCGATTTATTTGAACAAAATACATGTAGACGCACATATATTATAATATATACTATTATAAGTACGTGTAAGTAACGAATTTTATTGTTTTGTGCCATTTCATAATTTGTACATTTTATATAAGTAATCGAAATCATGATTGTCTGGTTAAGGTAAATAAATTACAAATGTATGAGAACTTAAAGAATAATAACATTGTGCAGAGATTAACAGAGGTTAATAGTAGTCAATTATTGTTTTTAAATAGCTCGAGTATATAAAAAATATTTTCTAAAACCGTTACTGAACATAAGCACTATAAGAGTCTTAATTATGGAAGTATAACTTCTGAACACTTTTTTTTGAAGTGACTTGAAATATATTTGTAAAATTAAATGAAAGTACATAGTTGCCTATATTTTTGTATGCATCATTCAACTATTATAATATTATAACAAGAGAACAGTAAGTATTTGTTATACAAACAGAAGGTTACCCTATATAATATTGTGTTTATTACCATCGTCGGTTAATTATAGTTGGTTCGATTATGATAATATTATGTGAAAATTGCGGAAAAGAAATAATACATCATAATATCGTGTAATAATAATACGTTTTAAATACAAGATTGAATTTGATAATAATATTGTTCAAAACCATAAATTAAATATAATTTTTTTTATAACACATTAATTTATGAATTTTTCTCCTCGGGATTTGAATAAATCATTATTGTATAAACGCAGCAAAAAAAAGCAAGAGGAGTAAAAGAACTCTTGGACCCAATTAAAATAAATAAAAAATGAAGTGTACATTTTTAAAATTAATTTACACACGAGGATTAATCTTCTCTCTTGCAATCACAATATATAAATAATATGGATGGATTTGCGGCGTATATGTGTGTGAGTAAAAGTATATAATACATATTATTATAATTACTGCGATTTATTTAACCACAAACGAACTCCGGTGAGCGTTTTATAAGCACATTTACCGGTTTGTAACATATTAATATATAATGTGTAAACCTCTTTAGACAATATTAATGAAAATTTTACGGTAACTAAACAAACAAGTTTGAAAACTTAAAAAAAATCATAATAAATAGGTGTACCTATATTACAATATTATATATTACTATAATATTGTATATTATAGAAACTTAGGGAAAAAAAATTGTTCGAATGCGTTACCAACGAGTTTCGACTGACGAAAACTCGTCGCGCATATCAATAATAATAATTATAGGCAAGTACATAGAACAGGGTTACGTGTGGGCTTTAAGACTCGGTGGAGTAATTTTAGGGGGGAGGCAAGGTGGGCATTTGCCACCGTCTGAATTTAAGAACAGCCAAATTATTGGTGAAAAAACATAACAATAATTTTAATACTGAGGAAACATAATATTGTGTGGATGCTATATAAAAATGTTGTCAAGACAGTAATTAATATCAATTATATAGAAGTCAGATTTTAATTCGAAATATAGACTCGTTGGACTTCTGATACAATATAAATTTTAAAAATAAAACAATCGCTATTAAAATATGTACCTATACACGATTTCCAAGAAGTTTCTATAATGGAAGGTACCTATTTAAAATTTTCTGATTTTTCAATCAATTTTTATAGTAATTTAATATTCTGTTCGATCCTTCTAGTAAAATTTAAAGTGATACTACCGAGGCACTGGACTGAGGCAGTTGGTATAGGTACCATAATTATTTGACTCCTCCGTGTATATAAATGAGGCTATTTTAGACATAAAATAAAATTACCTAAGAGCGGAGTTTTTTCGAGATACAAATACAAGTGGAAATTAGCTAGTGAGCTGTTTAGACCATATGGGCTGGTCAATACTATTTCCCCTATTTGATAAAAACCGAAATTAAGCCACTAAGTGCCTTTAAAAGTGCTTAAATTGTTTGTGATTGTTTTTTTTTTTATTGTATTATATCAATGGTGTTTTTACGTACCCATTTTCGCCGAGTCCGTGCAAGAATATAATCTGAAATCATAAAATCGTATAGATTACTATTATAGGTAGGTATATAATATAAGTAAGTGCTAATCATTCTTCTCGTCGATTGTGGCGACAGTATATAAATATAATATTGTTATATCGATATACATCATGTCATAATAGTTATATTGTATATTATATTACTCACGGTGCCCGTGTGTTTTCTGGTGGGCGATACGATGAATGCGTCTTCCGACATTTTCTTGTATGGGTATTCGGTCCTTTAAAAATATAATACTATGATATAGACGACGGCCGAAAACGGACTGTTGTTGAGAGATCGCTTGCCACAGGGGTGTGGGTGAAAACCAAGACGACAATGTGTGTCCAGCTGTTGCAGAATAATGGATGTTGGTTGCTGTGGACCGCGTGTTTCGTGTCCGCAAGATGACTGGTCGTCTCGATCCGATGTTCCCCGGCTATTATATTTATCCCCGGTCCCTCTAATCTCGGTTCGGACGAGCTGTGGTCATACACACACACACAGAAGGTAATAATAATGATAATTGTTACCGCTACCACTTTCCTTATCACTGTGTATAATATATAGTACACCCGTGTTCATAATTAATAGGTTGTGGTTCAACAAAAAAAAAATAAAAAAAAATTATGAAAAAAGAATAATAATAAATAAATGAAACTGTGATCGGTGATGCACACCCAAAGTCAAGTATAAGTCATGTATACGCCGTGATTCTCTTAAAAGACAAACGCCCACAATATCGAAATGGTATTAACGTTTTTTTTTGAAATGGTTTTATGTACAACGAAGGTTAAAGTATACGGTTTTTTTCCAAATTTTTTTTTAAATTATCCAAAAAAAAATATTCCCCGATACCGATGCTTCTTCGATGTTTACCTTGGATATTAAGAGAATCACTCTGTATAATATCTATCATAATAATAATGTGTACTCGAACGCGTGCACGTGCGTTTGTGTGTTGTCCACAGTCCACCGCCTATGATATTGTAAACCGTCTCAACACATATTATTATTGTATTGGAACGCATTCGAAGCGACGGTGTGAGATTGTAAAATAATTATAATATATTATTATAAACATATATTATTTTATCTGTTATCGATATATTATCATTGTAATTCGTAATCGCAATCGCACACCTACTCATATAATGTTTTCACATATTATTATTATTTATGTGCGTGTGTGTCGATGACGGTAATCGTATTAATTTTTCACGCCTGTGCTTCGTGAAATCTAATTTAGACGGAAAAATGTAATCTTTTGAGTATAAACTAAAACTATGTGATCTCGTGAATGGTACCAGCTATAAATTACTGTTGACAGTAATTTTTTTTTTTTTTTTTTAATTGATCTTTTTAAAGCCCGGCGACTATGGCCATTAGCTTGATTGTGGGTTTTTATGATTGTAGGTAGTAGGGTTTGAAATTGTAGGGTTATTACACGTGTGTGTTGTGTTTGGCAGAATTTCTATTGGGGCACCCGTAGGTTTCTGCCATGCCCCGGAGTGGGGGGATGGCGGCACTTGTTCTCCGGACACCGTGACTTGCCCGGAGAAAAATGCCGCCCAGTGGTCGAGAGAATCGAACCCGTGACCGCCAGCGCCGCAGACGACGTGTTCGACCGCTCGGCCACCTCGTCCCCCTGACAGTAATTTATAATAAGTAAACAATACACAATCCGACAATCAGCTTTAAATAATTGTATATACATATTATAATTAGGTACATGATATAATATTAAAACCGTGTGTACGCGGGTGGTACGGTTAAGCAGTTCACTACTATGTGAACATTTTTAACACTTTTCTTAAGTTCGCTTTTTTAAAGTATTCTACTGCTGTACCTTAAAAATATTACCCCGTCTTTGTAACAGATCTCTCAAGTATAAATTTGAACAATATTGTATATTATTATTTATTTATGATTACTCTTCCGATATTGCGTGCGAACGTTATTAGCTATAGGAATATTATATTTAAAAAAACCTAAAAAAAAAATGAAGGTAATTTATAAATATTGATAGGTACCTACTTTATTAAATGCCTGATATTTTTAATTCAACTTTATGTGTTCGTTTAAGTTCTTTTTGTATTCAGAAATAGATTAAAAAATCTAACTAGTATTTAAATTTCATTTATCTATTTAAATACCTACTACCAGACCGACAAAAATAGGTTCAACTGCCCATACCCCTTCCCCCATGTGTTCCCATGACAGGGTGTGTCGCCTGGGGGTGCTCAGAAGAACTGATTTCCATGTACTCTCGCTGAACAGGGTATGTATAGTGTGTACGAATTTTAATACTGTAAGTATAATTACAAATTAGTTTAAATACTAATATGACGCTGTATGAAAGCAAATAAAAAACGACCAGAAACAATAATAGAATAAACATCTAAATTTAATCTAGTGCAATACGTTCTACTGTACCTATAGGTAAGATTCCACAATTTATTTTGCGTCAATTTGTGGCTGTTCTTTTTAAAATTATTTTGCCTATAGTCAGCTCCAGAGACCAGAGGTAACGTAAAAAAAAATCAAACAACCGAAAATTGATGATTATTATCCGGATACTTAGTTTGATATTAGATAACGATGTAATAATTTATTAATAATAACTTTGAAAATGAAAGTGAAACACAATATTAATATGAATAAGACGAATACCAAAATTATATATCATACACTTAAAATAATTTTTATTTATAGGCTATAATTAATAAAAAATAAAATAAGTACCTATAACTCAATAGATTTCACAAGTAAAATATTAAACTTATCATTACTAAGGACGTATACAAATAATATATAACAGTAAAAAATTAAGTTAAAAGGAATTTTTGTGGTAAAAATATTTTGTCCGCCTTCGATGAATTTCACTAAAATCACACTGCGCACGTATGTCGTTCGATCCGTCGTGCTTACAATATTGACGACTGAGTCGAAACAATACTCAGGCTTCTTTATTACAGATTTAGAAACTTATTTATTTAACAGGACGGCGATGTATTATTATTACGATAAGACGGACAATAGAATTCGTCGTTGTGTACACCAAAACGGAAGAACAAATATGTATTCGTATACATCTGGATACCACACTATAATTTATTATTATTATATACGTAGCGGTCGTTGTTTTATATCATGTCTGATGTTTATACACCGTCAGACATTGTGAGTTGGAATAAGCGTTTTTGTTAAAAAAATTCTATTTGTAGTTTGTTGAGTTCCGAGTGTTATGGTTAGGTACTTATACAATGAATAGGAGACTGTTGGTATATAATTTATTTAGGCAAGTACTTGCTATAAATGGTAAGTACTCGCAATCAATGGTAATAATTACTCTCAATCAACGGTACCTATAAGTATTTGCAATCAATGGCAAGTACTTTCTACCAATCAGAAGTTCTAGTAATTATTGCAAACGATTTTTTATTCTACATTATTTATATATTATAATAAAGGATAATGATCCCATTTTCATTAATTGAAATAACAATGACATGCACGGATGAAAAAAAAATGTATTTTAAAATAAAAAATTATCTACTTATTGATAAAATAATAAAAATCTAAAACTGTACAGGATGATGGACTTTATTTGTGTCATATTTTTCCCAATGAAGAAAATAGTTGAAATGTTTTATAGTAAGGCATTTCAATGTTTTTTTTATATTATAACGCAAAGAAAATTTTTTTAGTTCTAATAAGCGCATGTAAATTCCGCCTGAAATGAACTACAGGTGAAAAAAAGGTACATGTAAATTCCGGACTGTAAAAAAATTATAATTAATAAATACATCCTGCATATGAGTAAAAAGTTCTTATTACTACATAAAGTTTTTAAAAAGGACCAAGTTTTTAATAATAACAATATGAGAAATAACATATATTAATCATTATAAGTATTTAAATAAATATATATTTAACATATTAAGTCAATATAATTACTACATAATTCATAAAAATTAATAAATTCGTAAATAAAGTATCTAATATTTATAATAAAGTAGAGTCAAAATATAACCATAATCTTATACTACCACACATATTTAAAGTCATATTATCATTTATAATTAATAAAAATCGTAAAATAGAATTGATTTACGATGGTCGTGTGATACGATTGTTAAAACATTTTGTAATTTCCAACAATACTATAACACGCCACGTCTTGAACAGTACGGTTGAAACGCTTAGTTTAAAAATATTAATTTTTTCCGGGCGGAATTTACAAATCCATTTTTGTACCTGTTTATTTTTCGGGCGGAATTTACATGTATATAGGTACTTACCTGTTTTTACCCGGATATTTTCTCTGGCAGAATTTACCATAGACCTTATTTTTATCTGTTCAATTTGGGTGAAATTTACAATTCCCCATCCTAATAGTAGAGGGGGAGGGGGAGTAATGTTTATGCAAAACACCTGCACAATCATATTTGAACGTATAGCTACCCACATACATTTGTCGTCTCCGTATTACACACGCGTGACACAGAAAATTTTTCGTTCACTAGTTTCGATAGTGTGTAAGTTTTGATGTTCGACGGAATTGACATATTATCAAACTTTTAGGCAAGAACATTGTCAGTGCTTCAAGTTATCAGCTTTTATTCGATATTTAAATTTTCAAGCGAGAAAGAACATTTTCATTTGTTGATATTTCACATACCCATATCTTGCTTGAAAATTAAAATTTCAAAAAGTCAGTGACGCTTTAGCTTAGATAATGTTCCTACCTAAAAGTTTGATAATAGGTCCATTCACTCTAATATCAAAACTAACAGCACACTATTGAAACCTGTAAACGAATATTGTCATGTCTTGAGTTTGAATCCTATTAACGTTTATTCTATACCTATTTTCTCTATAATATTATAGTTAGATTTACTGTGAAAATGCTTCGGTATTTCGGTTATATTAAAATGTTTGGAAATGTCTCAAATTATACTATTTTAAACCTAAATTCAGTAGAAATACGATACTTTCGAATCAGACCTTTTTTTGGCTTACCACAGAAGTGCAGTCGTGGTACTAGTGCACTAGTAGTTCACCTACCTACAGTTGTAGACTGTAGTAAACCAGCTTATTGTGTGGGTACGGTAATAACTACCTGTAATAAGTGCCTGCACAAATGTCCCATGGGAATATGTAATGTTTTGTTATATTGAATGTTATAAAATATTCAGTTTCAGAGTTGTGGTGAT